AAACAATTTTAAGAAAAATCATTTTTTAAGACAAAATTCGGTCCGCGTTACCAAAAATTCATTTAAATGGATTCGGAAGTCGGTTACGTGTGGGGAAAGGTAAGCACCACCACAACGCCCAAATTTGGTACTATGTCGCTTACACATCGTCGTAAATGGTAAAATTTATGAGTCGAATATAAAATTAAAATATGATCCATTTATCGAACATTTATTAATTTGCTTCGAATCAACTATTTAAAGAAAATCCTTTAACTCGATAAAAAATCTTGAAATTAGCAATCCTTCGTCGGGAAAACTATTTCAACTATTTTTCATTGTTAAAGAATATTCTATCTTTGATTATGAAAAACAATATGAACCGAATATAACCATAAAACGATGTTTACATAAAAATAAATTGATTAACTAAAACGTGAATTGAATACAAATGCAAATTTTGAAATTTACATTTACATAAAATAAAATAAATTACTATTTAAAATAACACACATTGCATCATTTGCACAAATTAATTAGTAAAATATATTTAACTTGTTACAAGTTCCTATGTCGTTAAAATGCCGTATCGGATCACACCACTTCGATCAAGTGGTACTTTCCACGCTCATTCTACGCATACGTACTCTTGAAAATATAATCGAATATTTCATACATAGATAAAAATATAATGAAAATAAATGTAATCGGAAATACAAAGATTTACATTAAATTAAATTAAACACATTATTTACACAATACAAATAATTAACTAATGAGCAAAATACGCATCCATACATAAATGACTAACATACAAATTAGTAAGTATTACAAACCAAAATAAATATATAAAAAAACATTTAAGGGGCTAAAATAATATAAACAGAAACTTAGGAGGCTAAACAAAAAAAATAGAAAGTTAATGGACCAAAATAGCACTAACCGAAATTTAAAGGACTAAATAAAAAATAAAAATAATTTAGAGCCATATCACAAACATTAAACAGTCAAATACTAGAAGTGAAAATAACCCAAAAGTAAAGCTTAGGACTAAATTGAAATTTCACAGAAACATGGAGGATCAAAAAGTAATTAAATAAAATGTCAGACAGTGACCAAAATAGAACATTTGCAAATATGATGGCTAAATTCAAACATCCACAAAATATCACAACACAAGAACTTAGGACTAAAATGAAACTATTACAAACATAATGTCCAAAATTCAACATAACAAAAATATCGTAATCATACAATCATAGGACTAAAATATAAGTTCTAAAAATGAATGCTCGAAATCGAAATAAAATAAATTTCATTTACTGACTATATAATACGGTTACAAAGAATCAGGGACCAAAAGTGACATTAGACCCTAAAAACCCAAAACACGCGGGTAAGTTTACAAAGCTAGGAGGACTAAAAGTGTAGTTATACCATAACTCGAAAACACGGATGGGGTTGAGGGCAAAACGGTCGCGTTTCAGGTGGGAATTAAAAGCCCAAAACATGGGCTAAATTCTTCTCATCCTTCATTTGCTTCATTTGAAAAGAGAGAAGAGAGATAGAGAGTTTCAGAGTTCTCTGAAACTCTCTCAACCGAAAAAAGGCCACGGCAGCCGAAGGCTCCCACGGCGGGGGCCGACGGTGGCGCATGGCAGCGCACGGCCGCCGGAGGAAGCCAAAAGACTCAAAAACTCCTCCGCTCTCACCCTCTACTCGAAAACCGACCCTAATCGGCCTAGAATAAACCCTAACCTCCTAAATCTAGATGGTTACCTTTGAAAGAAGCGAAAAGGCCGCCGGCTTCTGGGCTTTCCGATGATCTCCGAATCCAGGTACGAATATTTCTTTCTCTATTTTGTGGTTCTCAGTTTTTTTCTCTCAAGGTTGTTTGCTTTTTCTTTCGTTTCCCTCTGTTTTTCTTTTTCCTTGGTATTTTCCTTCTTCTTTTTTTGTCTCTGAACCCGAATGAATCCCCTGTCCTTGCATGTCTCTTTCTTATGGTCTTTTTTTGCTGAGAATCATCATCTCCATTTGATAGGAATCATGTTCCTAGGCTCGGGTTAGTACCAAAAGCCAAATATTTAGGGATTTAGGACTTCTTTAATGGGTTTTAGATTTGAGGGTGATTTGGTCCACTGTTGATGATGTTTTATTTTCTGTTTGATTGGTTCTGCTGTAGATGACGATAGTGGAGCAGTTGGGTCGGCGGCTGGACCATCGGAGTGGTGGCTCGGTGATTGGCTCACTGTTGGGAAGCTGAGGAGTTGAAGTCGCGGCGGCTGGGAGACCAAACGGCTGAGCTGATGATATTTTAGGGTTTCAAACCCTAAGCTTTGTGTGATCTGGACCGTTGGATGGGTCCAGATCCAATGGCCAGAAATGAGGCGGCTGGGCATTGAGGGGATTAGGGTTGAAACCCTAATTTGTTTTAGGGTTTGAAACCCTAATCGATTTTAGGGTTTAAAACCCTAATCTGTTTTAGGGTTTGAAACCCTAATCTGATGGGTTGGGTTGGTTCAGGGTACTGGGCCATTAGGTTTAGCTAGTTGGGCTCCGGGAATGGACCTTCTGTAATCTGGGCTTTAGTGGCCTACAAAAATTGTAATATGTAATTAATAAACATAATAATAATAATAATAATAATAATAATAATAATAATAATATACAAAAAAGACCCGGACAAAAACGGGTGTCTACAGGAACTACAAACCTAAGTTTCTAATTAAATTTCTTTTAATTAGAGGAACTATATAAATATATCTGTACTGTAAACTTATCAGTGTGAGATAATAGAAAAACGTTATTCATTTTAACATCTCTTCTCCATTGGTTTCACACGCACAGGTTTTTCTTTTGTGGTAAAATGTTTAATCAATAAAAAGTTCACTTTTTTAAATAAGATATCAAAATTAAGATATGTTGGAAGAATTTGTAATGAAGTATGCTTAATCAGATAAATATGTTTCAATATTTCAATCCAAAGCCTATATATTTTATTATTAAGATTTGTAACAAAAATTAATTATTTTATAAATCTACCAAACTATATTTGCGATTTGGATACTTTCTTGTACGTTTTTGTGGATAGATCTTTGATTTAGAATGGTCTTCTCTACTTGTAATTTCTTACTAAAACAAAGCCCCCTTTCATGGAAAAATGAGCTATTAGTTGAAATGGAAGTGATCTTTATCTCATAAATACTTTTATTAAAATTTAAAACTTTATTTATGATAATAATAAAGCACGTATTTCTACTTTGATAAAGTTGTACCATGAAAAATACTTGTTATAAACACGTCTCGTAATGAATATATATATATATATAGTGATACTTTTCTTAATGAAACCTATTCCGGTCATAATTTTTTTCAGTAAAAATGTTTTTAATAAAAGTCGTTTCGAGACAGAATAAGAATTGTTCCGAAAGTGAGATTAAAATACTTGCACTTATTTCAAAAGAGAGATTAATTGTAGGATTGATACTTGTTCTGAAGGAGGTATTCACCGAAATGACATTGATAATTATTTCGGAAAAAGACATTTACCTTCGTTACGAAAATAAATGTTATTGGAAATTGGAAAAGCTACTAGAGCATACCAAATTCTATTCATTAATAAAATTTTAAGCAATTTATAGATGTTAGGCAGACATATCTATATATATTGAGTGTTGGCTCGTGAGTGAACATCACATGCATGAATGGGGTACTAGATATAATGCACACCCAATTGCGAAAAGGATAACGAGTCAACAAGTATTTTCAAATAAATGATTGAGACTAATATAATACATTAATGCCACGACTCTTAGTCAAAGAGAAATAATTTTTATTTCATGGTTGTGTATTCAATTAAATGAATTATTTAGATTTCAAAATGAGTTTAGCAAAGTTAATTGATTAGTTAATAATTTATGTAATAAGTGGTTAAAAGCTTTTAGTTGATATCTCTTTATTCCTTTGAGTTGTGGGTTTAATATCTATTAGGAGTAAAAAATTCTCTTTTCCTTTCTCTAGATAAGAATTATTAAAAATAATAATTTGATTAAACACTCATTTTTTCTAAATAAAATTGAATATATAACTTTGGCATGTGAAATGCCTAAAGGAGGAAGGGTAGTTTTTAACACCAAAAAAAAAAGTATAATATCAAAAATTAGACTCTAAATATTTATTTGAACAATCGTTTTAGGTTTTTTTAATTGTTTTAGTCCTAATATTTTAATTTTGGTTAAAATAATTCTTGTTGGATGAAAATCATTAATTTGACTAACGATCACGTAGGTTGCTAATATGAAATTTTCAAATTTATATACTTGTTGACATGACACATATCATATCATCATTTTGAATGATGTGGTACATATTATATCATTCCTTAAGTGACATGATACGTCACATCATCATCTTAGATTATGAGGTATATGTCATGTCATCACATTGGGTAAAATAATATATATCACAACAGTAATTAAACATATATAAAAATATCACGTCATCAATATATATTGGTAGTTATTCAATTAATAATTTCTTTTCGACGTGAGTTATTTTGACAAAAAATTAAAATGTTTAAGGGTAAAATGTTAAAAAGAACGACTAAAATGATCATTCAAACAAATATGAAGGTTAATTTTGGGTTTTATGTCAAAAAGAAATAAGGCGTAGTAAGTTGAACCTAAGAAATTGATCACCGAGGCTAGTCCCAGCCTAAACGTTGTTTCTGAATTTAGTGGAAACCCTAGCAGTTAAACGCGAAAGAATCTGAAGAAAGATGAGAAAATGGAAGAGAGAGCTAGTAAGGCCTAATAGAGATGGAAAAGTAAAAGGGAGAAGGGATATCATTTCGAGAATTTCGCCACATCGATCAAGCCAGATACACCCAACACGCACATAGTAACATGTCATGAGTCCCTCAAGACATACCCTAATTTCTAGGCCCTACTCGTTTTCTCCACGTGGCGCCGCCTAACTCCCATACCCCCTCCATTGCAATGCTTCTGCTTCGATCAAAAAAACATTCCACCACCAGGCCCCTCCCTCTCACATTTATTATTGTTCTTCTCACCAAACTCAAGCTTGGGGGTGAACAAATGAAGGTAAACTACAACATTCCCATATATTTGTTTCTTTGATTTCCCTATCTAATGAATCAATTTGGGTTTTCTTGTTTAATTTTAATTTTAATAGATCTTCAACTGGGTGCAAAAGAGGTTCCATCAGAACGTCGTCAGAGGTTTGATAATATTTTCTAACTTATTTCCATTATCATGCATTCTTTCTATAGAGTTGATGGTTTTTGTGCAGATGGGCTTGCTCGAAATGTTAAGAAGACTGATTCGCTTGCAATCGATTCCAACACGAAAGCTTTACTCGAACAGGTAGCACTTTCCGACATGCTGGATGGTTGGCGAGATGGCATTTTAACAATCGGCACTTTCGGTTTCGATCCTTTGAAACAAAACGACTACTTAGCTCCGGGAAGCTACAAAGACGACGACGACGATGAAGAGGAAGCAGAGGAAGAACTATACACCGATAATAACGATGAAGAAGATGTTGAGAATGACAGTGATGAAGAAGAGAACCCACTGGTGTTGAGTGCTTTCGAGCACAGTTTGGAGGACGTTGATCACGCGACTTATGGAGAAACTGACGTGATGATGATGGTTGATGGGGTCAGTGGGTCTACTGATCCCGATATTAAGTTTGACTTGGAGGTCGCTGAGGGCCATTCCGGAAAGCTGAGGAGAAGAACTACATTGGCCGACCTCTTCTCCGAGGACTCTGACATAAAAAAGAAGCCCTGCCCACTGGAATTGGATTCAGATTCAAGCAAAAAGCCATCTGCTCGTACCAAAAATGGACTTTCCTTTGCCAAGAAACTCATTCCTCAAGTTGGTGAAGATTCTCGCCCCATCAAAATGCTACACCATGTGAGTATTTATAAAACCTCTGCCTCCCTCCTTTCACTTGCACAATAATCACTCTCCATTTCTCTTTCCCCCCCTCCCTTTTTTAACCAAGTTTAAATTAAGATGTAAAATTAAAGCTTTCGGTAGAAAAAATATGAATGTTTTGATTTGGAATGAAAATAAAATCTATAAATAATTTAGGTTATTGCAACATGTCCTTATAAAAAAAACATAGAAGTATGTAAACTTCTTTGTAGAGTTTTTTTATTCTAATGCTAGTGTACCAAATTATAATGTTATGATAATTAGGTCTACTTATGCCTCTCTTGTTTTAATTTTAAGATATAGTCCATTTAATTTTAATTATAGGACTTTAGTTTCTCTCTTGTTTTATTTAAAAATAAAAGTAATGTTACACTTGAACAGGAAAAAAAACAAAAGGATTAAATTTCAAAAGATCAATAAGTAGGGGCATTGGAGCGTAATTAAACCTTATAATGATCGAAATACACGAGAGACTTTACATAATAATTTTGAGCTTTAGAGTGTGAAGTGATATGTTAATAAAAGATGACAAATCAGAACCTAAAATTCAATAATTATATGAGGGGAAAAGGGAAAAAGGTAGTTATGAAACTGACCATCTGATTGATTAAAAAGTTGAAGTTTTCATAATTTTTATAAAAAAAAAATAAGGCGGAAATTTGAGCGAAATTGAGTGGATTGAACAAATTGGTTTGGGTTATTAGATGATGAGGAGGATGTTGAAAAGGAAGATCCATCCGGAGCTGGAAGGCAAGGGACTGTGCAAGGCCACCGTAATTGATGCTGTTGCTAAAAAGACACGTCAATCCACTGAATCTGTGTCTCTGCTTCAGTCCCCAGGTATACTTTTTCCAACCCTACAAAACAACAGTAATGTGGATGTCCTAACAGCGACTGGTTCTTTAGTCTTTACATTCCTTTCTTGTTGTACTATATATATGTGAGCTGGTTCTTGTTGTACGTGCTCCATTCGTTGCATGGTTAGGTAAAGTTGGGTGTCCAATAAGAGAGAAACCGAATCTTTTCCTCACTGTCATTTCCCAATGGATAGGGATAAAACTCATAACCCTTTTTTTCAAAAATAACACTACAAATGTATAAAACCAACGAGGAAACCGTCGAATTAATCCCGACACTGTTTGTCTTCCCAATCTGGTCTATTTTCTGGCCCCATGACAATATCCTCACCGGACTGTTATGTCTGGCGTTAAAATTGGTGGGGTCGATTTCCAATTATCCTTCATTGTTAGTATCAAAATATTTGACCAAGTAATGAGCATTGTCTTCTCTTTTTCTTTTCTTCTGATATTTGATTATATTATTGTTGCAGATGCTGCTATAGCTTGAGCTTGGAGTGATGATGATGGATGACCTAGTCTGATTAATGCTAATGTGTTGTTTCTCTTTGTGTCTTTAATTTATGGACAATGTTGATTAATGAAGCTATTCATGTATGTGAAGTATGGAACCATGTGATTTTCTTTTGTACCTTGGCTCTAGTGTATTGTTTGTCCCTGCATTTCCACTGGTCTTCTTGCCCTTGCTCATGTTTTCATGCACCTTTATTTGTATTTCTAATATATAAATTAATTAATTAATCAGATGATATAATTAGATGGAAACTTTGAATTCGTGTCATGTCAATTCCCTTTTGTAATTATTGTTTACTGTTTTGGCTTCAGTATATGTTCGTTGTCTGTTTAAATTGTCTTGGATTATTCATGCTTTGAACATCTTTATATAGCCCAGTAAAAATCGAGTGATCAAAAAGTAATTTACCCTATAAAAAATTGATCAAGTGATCAACAAATTTTATAGAGCCCAGTCTACTGGTTTGGAAAATCCGGCTTCAGATTAAGGGTGCGAATGGAGCAGCCCGTACGAAACTGCTCACTAGGTTTAATTGGGAACGAGAACTGTTTTAGGTAAAATATATATTAAAAATTTAGATTTTGTTATTAGTTCTTGTACCATATATGAGTATTTAGGTATTATACGTTAATTTGATATTTTAATTCTTATATTTTTTTTGAATTTTAAATTTTATTTCAAATAATATATAGACAATATAAAAAAAATTGCGAGAATTAAAATGATCAAATTAAAAAAACTTAAATTGAATCTATAACTTTTGCATTCTAGAGGAATTGGTAATAAAATTTAATTAACAAATGTAATATTTGTAGTTTAGGTGAAGATTGAAATTTTAAAATTTGAAAAACTATAAGAATTAAAAAGTAAATATAGAAATTTAATTCATAATCTATACATAAAACAGTGATCAATAGTGGAATTTGACCAAGTTATCGTGGAAGGGGTAATAGTGTGTAACATCCCAAACTATGGGTTATTGACTAAATGATAAAGTTTCAGAATTTGGTGATTAAAGTAGAAGAATGGATTAGTTCAATGATTTATCTGGAAATAAATCCTAAAAGTTGTTAGTAATTATCAAATGAAGTAGAGGACAAAATGGTTATTTAACTAATAAATGAATTAAAAATAAATATGATAAGGATATATATGTTAGAGGGGATAAGGATGAAAAGATATTCTCTTCATCTTCTTCTTCTTCTTCTTCTTCTTCATGTACGAGAGAAAGAAAGAGCCAAGCTTGCAAAGGTAAGATTCCTTGTTAGATGATTATTTGTTAATTTTAAGAGTGGGTTTTGATCATTAGGTAATACTTAAGCTTATGGAAAGCTTAAGTTGTCCTAAAATCAAAAGATAAAGAAGTTATGAAAGATTAAAGAAAATGAGTTTCTTAAGGAAATTCTGGAAAAGAGTTAGTAAGTGAATTTTGAGAAGGAATTTGACTTGTTATCTATCTAAGTAAGAGATATGAAGTAATAGAATTGGATTTGAAACATGTTGCAAAATTGATGTAATTATTGAATTACATATGGAAGATAGGATTTTGAGGTTTAAGATGAAATAAATGAATATAGATTGGTTTAAGTACGTATACTAGAGTTAAACATGAAAAAGGGGATGAAACATGAAGGATTTAATCCAAAATGAATGATTTTCGGGTTCAAAAAGAGGATTCTGGGCAGAGTGCATCGATGCATATTCATTGTGCATCGATGCATCAAGGTTAAAACCCAGAAATTGTTTGAATGTGCACCGATGCATTGGTAGTGCATCGATGCACTCTTTTAAAATAAAGACATCGAATGCAATTCATGCATCGATGCATAAGTAGTGCATCGATGCATCCCATTAATAATGAAACATCGAATGCAATTGGTGCATCGATGTATAAGGAGTGCATCGATGCATCTCAACAATAATACAACATCGAATACATTTTATGCACCGATGCATCTCAACAATAATACAACATCGAATACATTTTATGCACCGATGCATCAGTAGTGCATCGATGCATACCTTCATTAAAAGATGAAATTGACTTTTCTCTTGGTCTAAAGAGTGAACCATTAGAGTATATTAGTTATGATACTGATATAGATCTATGTATGATTATGTAGATATAGAATGTGATTCCGTTCTGAATCAACTGAAGGATTAGAATCGAATCAAAGCAAAGCTAAGGTGAGTGCAATTTAATTTGTACTTATATTATTGAATAAACATTTGGCTTGCGATGAGCCAGTGATGGAGTTACTATGGTAAGAAGTAACTCTTAAAATGTTATTTGATTGGTGATCAATGTTATGATTTGTGTGATTATGAGATATATATGTTATATGGAAAGTATATGTGAAATAAGATATGAGCTTATATGAATATGTGATATGAATAAAGCTATAAGAAATAATTTATGTGAATACATGCATTTGTGATGCGTGTTATATGATATTAGATATATGTTTACACATACATATGGTATGTGACCGAAGAGAATGAACATGTGATTATAAGATCAATGATTACACGTACATTTGGTACGCGACTGAAAAGAAAAGATATATGTTCATAAGAAAAATGATATGAATAAGTAAATTGAACTGTTATGAATGTTAATTCCCATGTTATGTGATAAGAGAGCTAGTGGTATAGTTGGCATGCCAAGGGTCGAGGGTTTACCTATGTTCTTCGGGACATATGGACTGTTTACCTATGTTCTTCGGGACATATGGACTGTTTACCTATGTTCTTCGGGACATATGGACTGTTTACCTAGATTCTTCGGGATCTATGGACTTGTCCTTCGGGACGAATACTGAACTAAGGTTCGGTTCCCCATGAGGGAATTGATACGAGCTGTGGTGATAGCATTAGTGCACAACCTCAATGTACTCACATACCTTAAGTTCTCAAATATATACATGAGCTAATGCAAGGGCTTTAAAGATAATAAATAACTTGTTATGATACTATATATATATATGCTTTGTTGTGAAATGACATGGATACTCGATGGTGAGTATAGAAAGGTTCAATATATGCTTACGTGATAGAAAAAAATTAGTAATAATGATATGAGTACTGATAAGTATATTAATGATATACGTATAAGTATGCATTATGTTATATGAAATGGTTTGTGGTTTTATTATATGTGTTATATGTCTCACTAAGTCTATGACTTAGCGTGTAAGTGATTTACACGTAGGTACCAAGAAACGAGAAGAGCAAGAATAGAAGTGGTAAAGACAATATCATTACTAGAAGATCAGATCAGAAGTAATTGACAAAGTATGTACTTGGTTATGTATAGAATGTTGGCATGTAATAAGTGTTAATTATGAATACTCTGATCGATTTTGTATTTTATGGTCTTATGTAAATTAATGTATTTCGTTTTAATGAAAGTTTTAAAAATTCCCGGGATTTTCAGTAAGAGTCAAAGTTTGAAAAGTCAATGTGACACCTCGGACTTGTATTCGGGTAAGATATGAGTTAAGGGTGTTACATTTAATGGTATCAGAGCTACGGTTTAGTCGATTCTCGGTATAAACCGAAGACTAGAGTGTCTTATAAGGTATACATGCCAACAAAATAGTGGAAACTTTTGATCTGATGGAATAGTAAGTATATTGTTTTGCTAATAGAACTATATGGTTGTATTTTTATAGATGTCTGGACAAGGTATAATGAGTGTTCAGAATAGTTAATATTTGCTCGTTATTTCTTCGGTTTTGTGGATTTATTGATGTTGATTTGGTCGTGTTGTGCTTGTTTTCATACAGGTCATTGTTTTCCAGAATTTGTGACAAAACGGGCGAATTCTTCATTTTTTTTATTATTTGGTCACGGTTGGAGACATGGACACGACTCTGGGCACGACGCGGTATGACATGGCAGTTTCTAGAAGGTCCAGTCAGAGGTGGTTTCTAGAAGACTTCTTCCGCACGCCTTCTGGAAGATTGACGAGTAGAGTTGCATTAGGAGACTAGTTTAAGTTTGAATTTAAATTTAAAAACAATTATCTTTTGTATTATTTTATTATTTTCTTTGCTTATCCTTTAGGCTTTGAGAGGCTATAAATACCCACTTGGGGTAAGCCTAAAAAGATCATTCAGAATACATTCTTCTTTTCTCTCTAGTTTTTATAAAAGTTTTCTCTTTTCCTTTTCAAGTTCTTTTTATTTTTCTTTATTTTCAAGTTTTATTTTTATGCTAAGTATGACTTTTGTCATGCTTAGCTAAACTTTTCATAAGCCGAGAGCTGTCGCGATGATTCAATTCCAACGGAAGAATTGAAACGGTCTCTTAATATCTTCGGAATCTCTCTCTCAATCTCTGTACTTATTTTTTCAAAATCAAAACAGTTTTCAAAAATCAAAGATTGACTTTGGTTAAGAAGTTGTTGCGATTAAACATGTGGGAGGAAGATTCGGCTTATAGAAAGCAATTCGACTTCCTGGGAACACACTTGGCGAGATAGCTTCGCCAAGAGGGAATTGAGATCGGAATTGACGGTTATAGAAACAATAATCCGAGTCGGTCGCCACGAACTTAAATGGTATTTGATCTACGACAATAGATGTTGTTAGAATCAACTACCGAAGCCGGAATCAAATATTGCCTTGGGTATTCGGTATACAAGATAGAGTCACAAGGATAGCCCTTATAGACAAAGTAACCGACGTGAATCCCGAAGAGAAAATCTTATTCGATGATCTAAAGGATATTGAATCAAAGCGAAGCTTGAGGCTACTTTTACCGTATTTATTCACAATCTTCATCTTCTTATTTTTACTTTAATTACTTTTATTTAATCACTTTATTATCTTTTACTAAAATCCCCCCATTTTTACTGTTTCACGCCTGGCATAAATAATTCAGACAGAAATTTATAATTTTCTAAGTCCCTGTGGAATCGACCCTTACTTCTCTTTGCTACGCATTTCCTTAATTTATTGATTGAGAATAAGGAATTATTTTGACATCCGAAACGACAGTTGTCAAATTGACGCCGTTGCCGGGGACTTCGCCAAAGTTACTAATTTTTTGTTTGTTTCTGATTTATGACCAGGACTAATCCGGGCACATTAGTGGAGTACAACCTGGAGAACGAAGCTGAAGCTAGGAGACTCCACGCACAGACACTTCTGGCCAAGATTTTAAGAGATCTTTGTGAGAATTTTCGAATTTCTCATGAAGAATTTCTTAGTTGGAAAAAAGGAATGAAGTTGAAGTGTTTGTCACGAAACCTGTAGTCTGAACCAGGTCGTCGAGCTAATGACGTTAAATAAAGCGCTTCATGGGAGGCAACCCATTGTTTTCAATTTCGTCATATTTTTTTATTTATCTTTACTTTTTGTTTCATTTTATTTTTATTCATTCAAGCATGTTTAATTTAATTTTTATTTTTATTTTACAGGAATCAAATATTTTTATTCAAACTTAAACGACGAGGATTTGCAAGATTATGATTCGAACAGTGCTAATTTCAGAGTTTGTTGAGCAGTAAATAGTCGAACAAAGCAAGAAAAGAAGAGAAGCTCAGCTGTGCGCACTGTTCCATTAACGGCGCACGTTAGCAAAACTCATAGAAGGGACCGACGCACGTTAGCAAAACCTCAATTTTCTCTTTTCCCTTTTTGTTTTCTTCCTGCCGCCTATCACCCCAATCCCTTCTCATCCTTTTTTATTTTACTATACCATGGACCCTACCCTATCACCTTTCATCTACCTTTTTCAATTTTCAAAACACTTTATCATTAAAAACAAAACCCCATATTTCATTCCAACTCAAACACCCACCCCCAACGCACGGTAGAGCCAAACTTAACCCAACTCTCTTCATCTCCCCCATCCCCGATCGCTCCCCTCCCAAAGCACGAAATCATCGCCTTCCTTCTACTCACCACCGGCGGCATCTACGCCTTGATAACGTGTTTCATCCCCTCCATCCACGATGGTGCGCATGAGGAACTAACAACACGATGATGCCGAAGCTAGCACCAAACACTCCGACCACATCGTTCGGCGTTCGCACTCACCGCCTCTCACCGTTCCGGACCTAGCATTGTTCGCACTCACCGTCTCTCTCCTGTTCGATGCATTCGGCGATTTAGCAAATACTTCGGAGGTAAATTTTGATCCTATTTCTATTCAATTATTACTCATCAAGTTTATGTTTTTACAGGGGATTTAGATGTTGGTTCTCCACCAAAGATACCACCTGATGATGTTTCTAGTTCATGGAATCAACCCAGACAAACCACGTTTCCACCACTGCACCTCCCACCATAACCGTGGACGACATTAAATCCGGGGAGTACTTTATTCTTTCTCTTACACTTTAATTTTTCGTTTTGAGGCAAAACGCTTTAAGTGAGGGGGAGTAGAGTGTAGGATTGAATTTCTCTTTGCTTATCTTTTGAATCTAGTGTGTGTTGGTTGAATTGGTCAGAAATTTCATTTATTGTCTTTATCTTGTTGAAAATTTTTGGAATGCTATGCTTGTTTGGGAACACATAATTGTTTAGGTTATGATATTCTTGATAATGGATAAGCATGAATTGTGATAAGTTGGTGTTTTTGTGATATTCCATGACTTCGTTGGTTGAAATGTGATTAGCTCAATGCATGAAACAATTTGGTGAGATTTGAGCCTTTACGAGCATATCATTTTCGCTCTCATTTTGTTTGATTGAGTATGTCGAATTTGGCATTGGTATTCTAGAACCTGCATGTTAAATACTGTCGAGATTACACATAAACATGATGCTTAAAGATGATTTGGGCACCTTAGGATTAACCATTCCGTTTCCCCACTAAATAGCCTACCCATGCATATTTTCCCTTAGTTAACCACTTTTGAGCTTATTCCCGCTTCTTTGTGTTCACCATATTCATAAACCCGAGCCTTTTTTATTTTATCCCTCTTTTCTACCTTTTTCAGGGCAAGTGAATAATTTTACCATTGTATTCTCCATCGGAAAAAAAATAGCAGTTCGAAAAGAAAGGAAAAACTGTTCGGAAAAAAAACAGAAAAAATGCGTAAAAAAATGGAAAACGAAAACAACAACAAAGAGGGAAAATGCATTTCAAAAAGAAATTTGTTGTTTGATATGTTGTCTTTTTATCTTGTTGTGCTTAATGTTTTGATGGAGTTGAGATTATTATTTGTTAGTTCCTTGCCTTGAATATTTATCCCTATGTTTAGCCTTTTCCCTACCTTTACCTAAGACCCGTTACAACCAATAAAAGACCCTTTGATTTATGCATCTTGTTTTTATTAGTAGTGGAGATTTGATTTACTTGCAGGCCTATGGTAATATCGTGTCAATTCTGACATTGAGCGTTTCTTTACCCCAAACACATTGAGTGATTTGAGTGAATCCCGGTAAGGTGTTGAGTTATGAATATTGAAATTAATGAATGAATGGATATTACAATTGCACTTAACTTGTTCCAATTGGTGATGTTCAATTGATTAATTTCTTGACTTGAATAGTTACTGTGGTCTCTACCTTGCTTCCCTAAATGTGAAACTTGAGAAAGAATGTTTAATGAAGTTTTTGACTGATTTGGTTAATCATACTTGAGGACAAGCATGAGATAAGTGAGGGGGAATTTGATGAGTGTTCAGAATAGTTAATATTTGCTCGTTATTTCTTCGGTTTTGTGGATTTATTGCTGTTGATTTGGTCGTGTTGTGCTTGTTTTCGTACAGGTCATTATTTTCCAAAATTTGTTACAAAACGGGCGAATTCTGCATTTTTTTTATTATTTGGTCACGGCTGGAGACATGGGCACGACTCTGGGCACGACGCGGTATGACGTGGTAGTTTCTAGAAGGTCCAGTCATAGGCGGTTTCTAGAAGACTTCTTCTGCACGCCTTCTGGAAGATTGACGAATAGAGTTGCATTAGGAGACTAGTTTAAGTTTGAATTTAAATTTAAAAACAATTATCTTTTGTATTATTTTATTATTTTCTTTGCTTATCCTTTAGGCTTTGAGAGGCTATAAATACCCACTTGGGGTAAGCCTAAAAAGATCATTCAGAATACATTCTTCTTTTCTCTCTAGTTTTTATAAAAGTTTTCTCTTTTCCTTTTCAAGTTCTTTTTATTTTTCTTTATTTTCAAGTTTTATTTTTATGCTAAGTATGACTTTTGTCATGCTTAGCTAAACTTTTCATAAGCCGAGAGCTGTCGCGATGATTCAATTCCAACGGAAGAATTAAAACGGTCCCTTAATATCTTCGGAATCTCTCTCTCAATCTCTGTGCTTATTTTTTCAAAAACAAAACAGTTTTCAAAAATCAAAGATTGACTTTGGTTAAGAAGTTGTTGCGATTAAACGTGTGGGAGGAAGATTCGGCTTATAGAAAGCAATTCGACTTCCTGGGAACACACTTGGCGAGATAGCTTCGCCAAGAGGGAATTGAGATCGGAATTGACGGTTATAGAAACAATAATCCGAGTCGGTCGCCACGAACTTAAACGGTATTTGATCTACGACAATAGATGTTGTTAGAATCAACTACCGAAGCCAGAATCAAAGATTGCCTTGGGTATTCGATATACAAGATAGAGTCACAAGCATAGCCCTTGTAGACAAAGTAACCGACGTGAATCCCGAAGAGAAAATCTTATTCGATGATCTAAAGGATATTGAATCAAAGCGAAGCTTGAGGCTACTTTTACCGTATTTATTCACAATCTTCATCTTCTTATTTTTACTTTAATTACTTTTATTTAATCACTTTATTATCTTTTACTAAAATCCCCCCATTTTTACTGTTTCACGCTTGGCATAAATAATTCAGACAGAAATTTATAATTTTCTAAGTCCCTGTGGAATCGACCCTTACTTCTCTTTGCTACGCATTTCCTTAATTTATTGATTGAGAATAAGGAATTATTTTGACATCCGAAACGACAGTTGTCAAGGTGAAGAAGAGTCACCTACTGGAGTGCCTGTACAAGATCAAGATGTTTTCTTCAGGACGTTGGACGTTATTCTGACGTGTTTTAAACCTCCTACTTCCTCTACTCAGAGGATGAATGTAGCAAAGGAATTAAAGAGATTATGAGCTCCTGAATTCAAAGGTGAAGTTGAGGAAGGTCCTGTTGTTGCGGACCTTTGGCTCAATGATGTGAAAATAATGTTAGATGGACTCCACTATTCTGATGTGGAAAAGTTAGATGGAGTGGTCTCCTTGCTTCGTGGGCAAGCAAGAATCTGGTGGACAAATGTCACTCTGAGAATGACAAATAACCAAGTGATTTGGTCCTTATTCTTAGAAGAATTTAAGCACAAGTATATAGGAGACCAGTTTATCAGACAAATGAAGCAAGAATTCTTAAATCTAAAGCAATTAGATTTCACTGTATATGAATATGAGTGTGAATTTAACAAGTTAAGTCGTTTTGTGGCCGAGTTAATTCCAACAGAGAAGGATGCGTGTGAATGGTTTATAGAGGGCTTGCCCCTGAGATTGAAAGAAATGTTAATAGTGTTGAACTTGTCCTCGTTTCAAGAAATCATAAATCGTGCTAAAGCTCTAGAGAGAGCTCAAAATGAAAGGTTTAAAGATCAAAGAACCCAACCATCTAAAATAATGGGGGCTTCATCGAGTTCTGCACCACTCAAGAGAGGTAGAGATTTTGGTTTTCAGTCTCAGGCAAGATCTGGATCGGTAGTATCCTCTGTTAGAGAATCAAATCAAATGAAAGTGAGACAGACTCAATCAGTAGGATCTGATGAGGACAGAACACAACAGAGACATTGTCAGACTTGTGGAAAATACCATGGTGGAATATGTAGAATGGTTTCTGGAGCTTGTTTTCGATGGGGTGAAACGGGACATTTCGTAAGAGATTTTCCATTAGGAACAAAATAGTCAGTACAATCGGAGCAATATGCTTCGATGTCTCAGAGAGGAAGAGGTAGAGGCAGAAGCCAACTTGAATCCTCTACTCAACAGGAAATACGCTCCACTGCTCGAGTGTATAATATTAATACTAATGAAGATTTTAATGATCCAGAGATAAT